GGGTGTGTGTGGGTGTGGGTGGGGTGTGGGTGGGGGTGGGTGTGTGGGTGTGGGTGTGGGTGGGGGTGAGTGTGGGTGTGTGGTGGGGGTGAGGGTGGGTAATTATACTGTATGTATCCATCTACACACACCCACACCCAAGTTCATTTAAAATCTAATTGCATGGTCTTGTTGCGAAATCACCAATTAAATTTTCTTTATCAGAATCTAGTCTTGACTGAAAATAATGTTACCCAAAAAAATCAATAGCATACACGTACAGAATTCTTTAAAGGCTTCTAAAGCAGTTTCTAGGATGTCAAATCTGATTCTAGTTAACGATATCAATATAAAGATTATTCCATGACTTATCATTGCAACTTTTTATTTGCTTGTATTTTTTGAAACAAAATATTACGATGTACACAATTGAAAACGATTATGAAAAAAGAAGAAAATGTTCAATTTAACGGCAATCATGTTAGAAACATATCTATTATGGTTCTGAAACAGATAGTACGACAACATTTTCAGTCGCCAGTTTGTCAGTAGGAGAAGATTTTGGATTTTCTTCACAATCTGCTTCTATGCGTATGGTTTGTCCATGTGCATCTTTGAATACAATCAGATAGATGATGCGATAGGGACGTTTTTCAATAGTTGAATGGTTGTTAGAATCATCGTAATCTAGACGTACATGCATCTCAGTATAGCAACCCGTTCCACTTTTGACATGATTGTATACTCTAGCTTCCATTGATTTATACGTTGTATTATTAACTTGTGAATTCTGTGGAAAAAGATTCTTAATATCATTACCTGTACCACCCAATCTTCTTGCGATGATATGCCCACAAGCATCTCCTTCAACGTAGTTGTAGCTTTCTTTAAGAATTTTCCGACATTTTTTTGATACTTCCGAACCAGTATCCAAGTGTCTCCTATGAATAACAGCATATATATATTGAACTCGTTTCGAGTTTGGTTCGGTATAAATTTCTTTAATAGAACCCATAGCATCGTTATTGATATGACATACTTCTAATTTGTTGGCATTTTCATAAAAAAGATTCTTGTTAATTTCTTTTCCGTTCACTGTTCCTGACAAACCCATAACAAGTATGCTTTTGCTAGGTGGCGGTTCAGAGTCATCTGAAAAAAAGCAACAATATGACTGTCTTTAATAAATTAGCAGTTCATTTGAAGAACAATGTCATTTTAGTTTTTATAATCTTGATTTATAGACTTCAATGGTCAAGTCAAAACTTTAGAATCTAACTGAAAAGTACTTCGATTTATTTCACAAAGTTTATTTCTTGAAAAAATAGTTGATCAAAGAAATTATTGAATTCTTCGGATTCTAAGATGTATGCTGTTTCGATATATATATGTTATAGGCAAAATTGAAATTCAGTCAAATTTGAAATTTGCCCAGTCAAAATTAAAATTTCAATTTTGACTAGGCAGAATTAAAATTTT